GTAATGATGATATGGCTCATATAACAAAGGATTCTTTGAAGGCTTGCTCTAGATTCCCTGAATTTTTGACGTTGAAGATGAAATGGTCAAAGAATGTGAGGGARGAGAGAGAYTGYCCTGATCAAATTTTGATGGGCTCTATGAATCCCAAAACATGTGCAGTACTTCAATTAGCATTATTTTTGGAGAAGTGGTTGCAGGATGGGAATGGWGCAGTAAGCCAGTGGTTATTTACWGAAGGSACWACAAGTGCACGRTCACACATGAAGTCAATGAASAAGGAAATTGAACGWGGAAAAGCCCAGTATTCTGCATTTTTGAAAAGGCATATTTGGAACAGCCGTGCGTTTAATAAGGAGAGGCCAGGTAGGTTGGGAACTCACTCTATTAGGAAGTTCGCAACGTCACTTCCCAGACACGCAGGAATGCCCAAGGATGATGTTAACTATAGAGCTAGATGGAAAAGTAATCGAATGCAACAGGACCGTTACACGGATATGCAGTTACTGTGGCCAGATATCAATGTTGCACAACATTTGTGCTTTGATGGAGTCTGTCTGTACAAGCCAGTAGATGGCTCTGGTATAACTGATGATTGGATAATTGAACATGTTACTCCAAATATTGCGAGTTCATTTGGTAATGAGGTTGCAGCAATTCTAGGAAAGGCATTACTATGGGCATGCTTCGAACCTTCTCTAATTGGTGTTGTTCCAGATGATATCAGAAGGAATGTGATGGCATCTTTTGTACAGCTGAATGAAAGAGTTAGAGCTAATGGTGGTGATGGTGTTGCAGTTGATGATGGTGCCAATCCTATTCGAAAAGCTGAAGTTGTCCCAATGGAACAAGCTGGGCGAATACATTTTGATGAGCTTTATGAACCAGAGGTTGAGGGGGAAGCTGCTGCTGCTGGAAATGGTCCTTTTGGTGGAAGTTCTGCAATGGGAATGAGAAGATCTCACCAACAGTGGATGAATGTTATGTATGCAAAGATGCATGACTTACAAGGGAGGATGTCGAACATGGAGAACMTGCTGATAAAAGAATTTGCCTTGCAGAAGCAAAGAAACAAGAGGCTTCAAGCTGTTTGTAATAGAGCTGCAATGGCACCAGTAGCAAGAAGAAGGGTGAGGCCACGTCTTGTCAACCCAGGTCGCGCTGGTACTAGTACTGCTGGTGGTGCTGAAGAAGAACAGCGAGCGATCCTCCAAAAGAATCCTGCAAACTTGTATGTTATCTGGAATGAGTGGGAGTGTGGATTTGCTGGGAACAAACCAGCAAAGAGCTTCACTGCAGCTGAGAGGAACTGCAAGGAAAACAAGTTCGTGTACTKCAGGCGGAAGCCCTTTTGGCAATGCATTGAAAGAATCATAAGGACGAGGTCTGGTAATGCTCAAGATGCCATCAGCACTGTTTACACTGTTTACAGRCAGGAGAAGACTGTAACAAAGATCCTGAAGGCTCTTGCAAAGCATGAAAGAGAAGGTGGACACTCAATGTTGAGGTAGCTGGTTGATTGCTGCGTTGCTTCGATCCGTTGC